TTCAAGTAAAATCCTGATTTTATACGTCATCATTAATTACGAACTCTTATCGAGTCAACAGTTTATTAATAATAAATGTAAATGACAAAATTTATAATTACAATTTATTTTTAATATGTAGAAAAATCTCCTACTCGAAATTTTCTTCTCAAAACTGGTGGTAAACCATTTCGGAAGATAATTTCACAGCTTGACCAATAATAGACCAAATATTTTATCCAAACATTTATCCTCCTATAGAAATTATTTTAGAATAATACGTGGGGGTAAAACTTTTATATAATTTGAGAAGTTGCAAATAATTCAATAAGTATCGATCTGATACCTTCATTTATAATATTTCGAGATTTCCATTCTTTATGAACCCATTGAGTCGAGATATTCTTATAAAAAACGTTCGTGTTCTCGATAATGACATTAATAATTTAACTATTGAAGATAGTCTTTTTTAAGTAGATTAATTTAACTTTTATTATCTTTTTTCTCTGACTTTTATCTATAATTTACATGTAATACTTGCCAGACCATGAAAAGCTTACAGAAAAAGGATTGTTTATTCGAAAGTAAAAATTGTCTATCTCGTATGTTTCTTAGTTTATTTTCCACTAAATAAAGTAGAAACGATTCAAAGGATTAAAGGTCTCACTTTATTGACGAAGGTTTCCGATGTTTATTTTTGAAAAGTCAAAAGTGTAGCTCTCATTTTCAACAAAGTTATCTTTATCTTCTTTACATTATTTTACCACCCTTTTTGAGTTTCTCTTTAAACCATTTATTATCTTCCGGTATTCCTCCTTGTGTTGACTCAAGAAAAACGGAACCCCCATAAACCAACAAGTTCTTTGGAAAGATGGATCTTTTGGATAAGTACACTTACTTGCCTATTCTTTTCCAATACGTCCTTTTAAAGGTTTTCCTTTGACTCGACACCTTGATGTTCTCTGACGAATAGAAAGAGAAAGATAGAAATAGTCAAAAGTTTACTGAAACTAGCAACAACTAGATTTTCAAAGTGTTCTCTCTGATCTCGCACTTAAACTTAACTCACTCCTTAAGTCAATGGAACTCTGCTGTATTTTGTCAGTTGTATTTTGCACTTTCTACCTTCCGGCAAATTTCGTTGTTAATAGTCGAGAGATACTCTTGTTGATAAACGTGAACGAGTAAATTAATAAACATAACATTGAGGTATTCGAAATAATAAACGTTGACATTGTTTTCTATGATAATTATTTCCTAACGATATTTATTCTCTCTTGTTTCTCGCTTAAGTAATTGTAAGTTGTAGAAAAAAGAAATAAAATATAAATATGTGTACGTTTTATAATTTCAAATATCAATCGATTTTAAACGTAGTGAATATTTCTGCCAATCGGATGATATCATCGCAAAATTCCTATCGAACAATATTTTTATTTTGTTTGAAATAGTAGTACGAAGTTGTTTTAATTATATTTTGTTGTTCTCTCTCTCTTTCTCTCTCATTCGTTTTTTTTTTATTGGATTTTATTTGATAGTTTTTTTCAAAAGCTAAATTGTTGAATATCTCTCTACGATTTTTTCATTGTAATGATATATTTTCAATAGAAAATAAAATTTCATAAATTCGTATTGTCAATAAACATCAATAAGAGTAGTAATATAAATAGAAAAAAAAAAAAAAAAAAAAAAAAACAAGAAATTATTTATTTGCGTTATTCACAAACGAGCATATTAAATTTTACAAGAAAAAATGTATGTAGATGACTGTGTTAATGCTCATATCTTTCATACATGTTACTTTCCATACATTACATGTGAGTATTATTAAATTTTTTATTTTTTTTATTTTTTATTTTTTATTTTTTTTAAATAAGGGATTTTATCAAAACAAGGATCCCACTATGACGAAGAAAATTCTAGATTTTGTCGTAATAATTAATTAAAAAATTTTGTAAAATGTTTGACGAAATAACGTCGACGAATTATTTTAAATGCGATTCGAGAGGAAATTTAATTATTACTGGATTTATTGTCACGTTAAAATACATATGAATATTCGCGACCCGTAATCGTAATTTTATTTTATAAAAAATGTAAAAACGTCATAAAGTAAATTGAAAGAAAATCCTTCGTCGGACCGAAATCGCACCAATATGTAGCAGTTCCATTTATAAAAAACTGTTAATGAATAATTTTTATATCGTTGAAATGAATTTCTTTTAGTCTTATTGACATATTTCAAATGCATATGAGAAATCTTCGAAGCAATATTAATAATAGTTTTAGTGCTCCTTTTTTTTTCTTCTTCTTCCAATAAAACTTAAAAGCAATTTGGTAATAACATTTTTTTTTTTTTTTTTTTTTAGAATAACATGTATAAAAAAATATAAATTATTTTTTAAAATTATTTTTTGTTCTTCTACGAATTCTAACAAAAGTAATTTCCTGTTATGAATATTTAAATATCATTTTTATACGATTTCGACTAATTTTCGATAAGATTTCGTGCCAAATTTCGAATTTATGTGAATGTAATTGTATTGTTCACGTTTAAATTAAAAATGACATAAAATTGATTTAGAGAGAAAGAAAAAAGAAATTTTATCTTGTTAGGATTCTACAAAAGATTATTATTAAATAATTTTTATATTATACGAAATAATATTTTCCAGATTTATCGTCATATTTCCAATTTGTATGAATACATTTTTCATGTGTATAATTCCATTCATTTTCTCGTAAAATAAAAAATGAAATCAAATATTTGTGTATAGAGACAGATCATTTTTTTTTTGATGCATATTATATATCTAAAAAAGAGAAATGAGATAAATAAATTTACTGGATAATTTTGAGATATCGTTGAAATGAATTTTTTTCCAAAATTTGTAAAATTCATTTGATTTATTTAGTCAAAAGTTATTGGTACATATTTGAAAAATAAGTGAAAATTAATAAAATAATATTTAATACATTTTGAAAGTTAATTATAGAAAAGAAATGAGTGTGTGACAAATTACGTGTAATACGTAAATTGATGATAATTCTAAAAATAATGCAGTTAATAAATGAGTATTTGTATTACAAAGTTGATTCAATCGTTTTTATACTATATATGTTAAATGTGGTGTGTGTGTGTGTGTGTGTTAATGTCAAATATGCAGCTATAAAAAGTAAAAGTCGATCAAAAGATATGAAAAAAAATTAAGCAAAATTGACAAAGTAAAAATCATGATAACATTCAACATTATAAAACGATTTCAAATCATTAGAAAAATGTCGAATAGAAAATAGAAACAAAAAATTCTATACTTGAGTCTCAAAACATTTTACATTTACAAACAAAAAGAAAACTAAAGAAGATAAATGTAAAAGTTAATGAAATGAAGTTAAAAAATATTAATCAAAAATAATAAAGTAAAAATCATGATATCATTTAATATCACAAAACAATTTCAAATCATTTGAAAAAAGTCGAATAGAAAATATGAACGACAACTCGTTTCAGTTTTGTATCAAAATACAAAAGAAAGTTTATATACTCGAGTATCAAAACATGTTACATTCACAAAAAAAAATAAACCGAAACTAAATAAGGTAAATGGAGAAATTGATCAAATAAGGTGAACAAAATTAAACAAAACTGACAAAGTAAAAATCATGATATCAATAAGGAACTAAGGATCACAAAACAATTATAATTTGGAATCATTTGAAGAAAGTCGAATAGAAAATACGAACAAATACTCGTTTCACTTTGATATTATTTAAAATACGAACAAAAAATTCTATACTAGAGTCTCAAAACATTTTAAATTTACAAAAAAATAGAAAACTAAATAAGATAAATGTAAAGGTTAATCAAATGAAGTGAAAAAAAGTAATCAAAATTGACAAAGTACAAATTATGATAACATTCAACATCACAAAATGATTTCAAATCATTTGAATAATGTCGAATAGAAAATACGAATAAAAATCATTATAATATACTTGAGTCTTAAAACATTTAACAATTACAAAAAAATAGAAAACTAAATAAGATAAATGTAAAGGTTGATCAAATGAAGTGAAAAAAATTCATCAAAATTGACAAAGTACAAATTATGATAACATTCAATATCACAAAATGATTTCAAATCATTTGAATAATGTCGAATAGAAAATACGAACAAAAATCATTATAATATACTTGAGTCTTAAAACATTTAACATTTACAAAAAAATAGAAAACTAAATAAGATAAATGTAAAGGTTGATCAAATGAGGTGAACAAAATTAAACAAAACTGACAAAGTAAAAATCATGATATCAATAAGGAACTAAGGATCACAAAACAATTATAATTTGAAATCATTTGAAGAAAGTCGAATAGAAAATACGAACGAAAACTCATTTCACTTTTATATTATTTTAAATACGAAAGAAAGTTTATATACTCGAGTATCAAAACATTTTACATTCTCAAAAAAAAATCCTAAACTAAACAAGATAAATGTAAAAGGAAATTGTTTTGTTATGATTATTCTATAAAACAAAATGAGATATAAAAGAAAGATTATAATACTCGAGTCTCAAAACATTTTACATTTACAAAAGGAAAACTAAAACTAAACAAGATAAATGTAAAAAGAAAATTGTTTTGTTATGATAACTCAATAAAAAAAAAAAAGAGAGATAATAAATTCCTTTTTAACGTAGTTTAATAACCAAGTTGAATATACATATATACACATATACATACATACATAGATCGAATTAAATCGACTCTTATGTTAGTTTGAAAATTGCGAGTGAGTCGAGTGCGAGGTGAGGGCGTATCTCGAGGGCGCGGGATAGTTTCCTCGGTAGAGTTGTGAAGTGGAAAAAGTAAATTTAACGCGAGCCCAACCAAGTAGGAAGAGTAAAGGGTTTGCGTCGGCGCAATATGAGTTCCGCACGCTTTGGCGGTAAACCGTGAGAGAGTGGTTTGCCGTTTGGGTTGCGTCTAAGCGTCGTCAGTTGACGTAGAACCGTCCTCGACGTAGCAATATGCTTTTCGTTCTCGCGATTCCGGTTTTATCCATCGTGACATGGGCATCCGCGCTGATCGATCCGTTATCAGGTAAATCCGATAGTGCCGATTACATTGATACTTAATCCTTTCTCTCTATAACACACACACACACATATGTATACAAATTCAGTTAATTATAGCTTTTGCACAGGAACGGCACAATCTCAAATTTTCTACTCTACAATTTATTACAAATTAATTTTTTTTTTAACAAATTGTGAATCAAATATAAAGAATCTTTTTTTATTTTATTTATTTATTACATCGTCAATTTTGAAATATAAAAATAATTGGGATTACTTTTTTTCGTATTATATTTGTATTTGTATTTTATATTCACTTAAATCTTTTATCTTGTAAAAGAAAGAAAACAAATTGTGACTTTATTTTGATTAATTTTCAAATATAATAATCGAGATCTTTTTTTACGTATTATAATCGTATATTATTTTTCATTTTTTAATATAAAACAAACAAAAAATAAGAGAGGAAAATAAGTAATCCGTGTGAAGGAAACAACAAAAATATAGTTAAATCCTTATAACGATCGTGTCCTATACCAGTTTCACGTCTAGCAGAATAAGAAGAAGAATAAGAAGAATGAAAAGAATAAGAAGAAGAAAGAGAAAAAGGATTATCGATCTCATGATGAAAATCACGAGACAATCGTGACAATCTCGATTATACTAGAGGGGTGGTCGTGCGAGTAAAGACATTGAAATGGAAAGCTGCATACTCTGCATTGTTCCACCTGCTACCTTTCCCTTCTCTTCCCTTCCTGTTTCCTTTTATTTTCTTTCTTTCCTTTCGATATTTTCTCTCTTTCTCTTTTCATTCTGTGTGTTACTCTTAGCAGGCGGCGGCGGGGGTGTCAGCAAGCCCTAAGACTTCTTGGCAAGTATAAATTATCACGGCGGAAGTTAGTCCAACGAACTCACCTTATCCATTCGTACGATAATAATTACTCTCTCTCTTTCTCTCTCTCTCTCTCTCTTTCTTTCTTGAACGACTTCCAACGCCGGAATAGGTTCTTTAGTCGTCGTCCAACTGGACACATTTCGTAGATCGTGCTACGAACGTGGACTTCGTTTATTTGCATCTTCCATCTTCTTACCACCCTCACCTTCACCACCACCACCACCACCACTAACAAGTCCTTTTTACCTTTTCCGATTTCTTTGACTAACAATAGACTTCTTCTTCAGTGTGTGAACTCTTTGTATTATTTATTTCTTTATTTTTTTCCCCCTCATCCATTGGAATATCTTTTTAAAGAATATTATTTTGTAATGTTGGAATAATTGTAATCGATTCCTCGATAATTTCATTCGTTTTCCAATTTTACGATTTTTCTTTTTTGTTTTGTTATTTTTACAAAGACTTTTATCCATAAATAAAATTGTTACAATTTTTTCTTCTTTTTTTTTTTTCGATGTTCACTAAAAGTAACTTTATTGTTAACTCAGTTGTGTACACCTCTCTCTCTCTCTCTCTCTCTCTCTCTCTCTTTCTCTCTATCAATACATTTTAAAAAGTACGAAAATGCGAAAAACGGAAATGAGAAAACATAAATCGTTGCATTCGAAAAGGACATATACACCCGTACGTACCTGCGTTTAATACATATTGAAAAACGATCGTTGATTTTGTTATTTTTTTTTACTATTATTCTTCTTCTTTTTTTTTTTCATTCCCCACTCCCTTTACTATTTCTCCAATTATTTCCTTTCGTTAACAAAAGAAAGAGATTCGATGATTAAAGTGAAATAACATAAAAATTGGTTATAGATTAAAAGTTTTATCCGGTGTTATAAAAAAATTTTTTGTTTGTTCTCGTTCTCATTCTCATTCTCTCTCTCTCTCTCTTTCTCACTTTTTCTCACTTTTTCTCTTTCTCTTTTTGATATATCGAATTTGTGTACAATAGCTTGGAGAAACTGTATACATCACGCTTCTTGACGATTTTTCGAATGACGTGAGAGAAAAAACACACTGAAAGAGTGTGTGTGTGTGTATGAGAGAGTGAGAGAGAGAGAAAGAGAGAATGGCAATTTCGTTAATGGAGAGAGAAAGATAATTGCGTCGATGCACGCTCGACTTTGGTTCGAACGCATCAAATTCGGTGGCTAGGTGAACGAAAGGTTGAACCTTTGAACTCCTAGTGTCACCTGAAACTTTTAATTACTGTCGATGTGGTAGTAGGATGATTGACATTAAAGTACATTAGATTTGAAGTTGGTGTTAAAGGTCATTTATTCCAATCGAGAGAGAGAGAGAGAGAGAGAGAATTGGAGAAAGGTTCGCTTCCACGTAATGCCACCCCTCATAGTGTGTTATTCTTTCGTGAGCAAATACGGCCTCGTCATTTTTACAAACGATACCATTGGTTATTCAACTGTTTACTTATGTTAGATATTCATATGTATGTATGAATGTATGTATGTATCTGTGTGTATACAATGTACACGGAATACTTTTTAATGTATACATGACTCATCAGTTTTATCGTAAAAATACGAAATATACAGTGTGATAGTGGATCTTAAACGATTTCAAATTCATATATTCAACTAGGTACGTGATTGAAAGGTAGAAACTAATAATGATACCATTTTAGTTTTAGCAAATCAACCGTACGATAACAAAATTTGATTATCGTATTTTCCCTAAAGTTTGTTTCCCGCGGTTTGTTTTAATCGAGAAAACGATCCTCCTACTAATACTACTACTACTACTACTACTACTATTACTAATACTATCCTTCTTCGTCCATCGTCTTCCTTAATCACGCGCGAGATTAATTAGTCCTCTGACGTATATGATTGGTAAACAGTGTAATATTTGCCGGGGTGATTTCGCGTTTGATTGCACCTAATTCGCAAACAGCAAAGCACCGTTAGTCTACTCACCCTACGTCTATTTGTAGTCGTAAGCGTAACTACAGTGAGGAAGAGATGCTGAAGGAGGAGTTAGGATGTGGTGGAGGAGGAGGGTGGATGGCATCCTACGTTAAATCGACAATTTCACTGCGTTTCGTACCTCGAGAGAGAGAGGACCGTGAGAAGGTCGAAAATCGGAAGCACGTGTTAACGGACTCTTGGGAGTATTAAACTGTGTGCGTACAGGACCTACATACTTGTTCACATTGTACCTAATCATCGCGAGTTACATACTACATACATAATTGTAAGTGGGAATTGTACCAAACAGACAACACGAGATTGGTTAGATTTTATTTTAACATTATTCTCTATTGTGTGTGTGTGTGTGTGTTTGTGTATGTTTGTTGATGGTGTATACTATACACGCTGTTGCTTTTCAACACGATGCGGTTGAATCTTTAATATCCGATTCACGCATATGTGCTCACGTTGACCGGTTTGTACATGAATTATATTGAAACTAACCCCCAGAAGCTGTGTTCTTTCGAAAATGCATAGGCGATAAATATAAATGTTTAACTGGACTTTAAATTCGCATGGACGATTATATTTCTCTATATATTTTTGTTTGACTAACGAATTATTTATCGGTCATTATTAAACGTGTAAACAATTTAAATGTTCTTTGGTCAAATATAAGCTTACATACATTTATTTTTAATTTATTTTTATATTTATAAATAAATCGAGTTACATCTATAGATAATTAAATGAGTTTACATAAATAATGGTAATTATATATATTTATATCTGATAATCAGTAAGTAGATAATTACAAATTTGTATATAATATGAGATAAGAAATACGAAATATATATTTGTTCCGGTTGTATTAAAATAACGTTTTATCGATAACATAGATACACGAACGATTTACTGTTGCGTGAGATAATCGAAGAAAGAGTAAAATAAAAAGAAAAAGAAAAAGAAAACAAAAAAGATGAAAAAGAAGAAGAGAAGAAGAAGAAGAAGAAGAAGACGACGAAGTGGAATGATAACGTTGTTACGTTAGAGTTTCCCGTTAACGAAGCAAGAGGTAGTTTTATAAAAGGAAGGTACGAAAAATTCAGTTGAGAGAGAAAAAGAGAGAAAGAACACTCAAAGCCATCGTTAACGTTCTCGAAAGAATCAGCAGGTCAGTAAACGATACCAAAACGCTTTGTGATATTGTGTAATATCGTGTATCATAAGAAATAATTAAGAATAATCTCTTCTAATGAATCAAACGCACAGTGACGAAAAGCATGGGTGTGCGTTCAAACTGTTGGACTGGTTCGGATTTGAGAATAATGCATTGAGATAGAGGTGGAGTTTTTGGAAAATAGGAGGGTTGAAAGGGTGGCTGGAAGGGAGAGTATTGGACATAAATGCATCGACTTTTTGTTGTTGTTTTTTACGAGCGATCGATCTCGTCGAACGTAGAAAATGTTTCTCTACAACGATCATTCGGACGGGCATAAATATTTATTCGACGTCGTTACGCGTATGTACGTTAATCTGCGGATCGACAAGCTTAAAGAAATGCCTTCCGTTATTCCATAGTGTGAATTCGTGGCTTTACCTACTTCGTTATATTTTATTTTTTTTGTATTTTTTTGATGTAGGATTCACGATATTCGATGGAAAAAGCAACTTCGAATGAAGAGAATGTATGTTGATATAAACAAGAACATAAGAGAGAGAAAAGTCTTGGTTGGTTGCAACTAACATTTCAAACATTTCAACCTTTTATTCCATTTTACATATTATTACATTTTCTTATTTACATAACCATAGACTAACGCGTGAAATATATTTTCCCTTTTTTATTTTTGTTAAAAAGGAAGAGTATATATATATATTTACTAGACGAATGCAAACTTCTCATTGAGAATTCTACTTGAACGCGATCGACCGTTAAGCACGCGCATTTTCACGCGCGAAGAGTTGGATTGTTTAACTGTGCTTTCATGCTTTGTGCTCGAGAGTTTGCGGATGTCTCTCTTTTCCTTTCTCTCTTTCTCTCTCTTTCTCTTTCTCTTTCTCTCATTCAGAGAAGACACACCGGCATATAAGCGATAGGATCTTTAAGTACGAAACGTACCCTACTACGAGTCGCGCATCGCA